TGTGGGCTTGCCGTTCCCAACTGGGTGAACAAGAACCCAGAGAGGCTCCACACAGGTGATTCTCCGTCCTCTAGACTGTGACCATTCCAGGGGCAGAGCCGGTGGGGCCCTTGGTCCCTGGGAATTCCTGTCACTTCTTTTAAGTTAACTATAGTCACCATGTTGTACATTACATCGCCATTACTTATTTCCAGTTTTGTTGAGATATAACTGGCATAAATCACTGTATGAGTTCCAGGTATACAGCATAAAGTTTTGATGTACATGCATTGTGAAATGATTACCATAATAAGTCTAGTTAACACCCATCATCTCATATAGATACAATAAAAAGAAGTGGGGAGAAAAGGAAAAAATTTTCTCCTTGTAATGAGAACTCTTAGAGTTTATTCTGTTAACAACTGTATGGTTAACATACAGCAGAGTTAACCATAGTTTTCATGTTGTGCATTATACCCCTCATACTTAACTTATCTCGTAACCGGAAGTGTGTACCTTTGGATCACCCTCCTCCAGCACCTCCTTTTCCCACTTCCCGCCTCTGGTAACCGCAAATCTGATCTCTTTTTCTATGAGTTTTTATTTTGTTTAAAGAGTCTACATATAATAAGTGAGATCATACATATTTGTCTTTCTCTCTGATTTATTTCACAGCATAATGCCCTAAAGGTCCATCCATGTTGTGCAAATAGCGCCATTTCATTCTTTTCTTATGGCTGGATAATATCCGTTGTAAATATACACCACATTTTCTTTAGTTGCTCATCCACTGATGAACACTCAGGTTGTTTCCATATCTTGGCTGTTGTAAATAATGCTACTGTGAATGTGGCTGTGCATGTATCTTTTTGAGTTGGTGTTTTCATTTTCTTTGAATAAATACCCAGAAGTAGAATTGCTGGGTCATATGGTAGTTCTATTTAAAAATTTTTAAGGAACGTCCATGCTTTTTTCCATATGGCTGCACTAATTTACAGTCCCATCAATGATGTGTAAGGGTTTCTATTTTGCCACATCCTTGCCAGCACTTCTCAGTTGTTTTTGGTAAAAGCCATCCTCACATGTGTGAGATGGTATGTCACTGTGGTTTTGATTTGCATTTCCCTGATATCTGTGATGTTGAACACCTTTCATGTACCCGTCGGTCAACTGGACATCTTCTTTGGGAAAATCTCTGTTAAGATCCCCGGCCCACTTTTTAATTCCTGTCACTTTTGTCTTCACTCTAGGGATTCTCCAGCTGGACCAAGTCATCCAGGTGCTGCTGACCACGGGCATGTTTGTTGGTGGATTTCTGGGATTTCTGTTGGACAACACCATCCCTGGTAGGACTCATCTTTGCTCTGAAAACTGGCAGTTGGGGTCTGGGTGGGGTGATTTAAAGTCCCTGTCTACAAATATAGTCACATTCTGAGGAATGTTAGGAAGGGAGTTAGGGCTTCAACATATGATTTGGGGGGTGGGTGGGTGAGCACAATTCAGCCCATAAAAGGACCCTAAGGTGGGAAATATGCTAGAAGCAAAGCTCAAAAGGCACAGCCCCAGCTCTCTTAGAGCCTGCAGTCTAGTTGGGGAGGGAGAGAACACATGTATATATTCATATTCCAACACAAACCACATCTGGTGTGCTGTGTTCCGGGTGTCCTGTACTGAGCATGCAGAGAGCAGCAGGACCTGCCCTGCCTTCTGGAGCCTCACAGGCTTGTCGGAAAGGGAGACACAACCACAGACCATTACCATACAGGGCCCTGAGTGTGGTGAGGAGCACATCAAACCCATCAGTGCTGAGGATGTCAGGGGAAGGGTGCAGAGCTGTCCTCACTGGTGGCTCTCCGTGCTCCCTTCTTGGTCCTCCTACAGTTTCTTGAAAGGACCTCTGTAATAACTCCTGCTTCATGATATGCTGTTTTCCACGTTTCTTCTCTCCACCGAATGTAAAATACATCTGCATTCCAGAAACTGAAACTTAGAAAGGTCTACCCCAGAAGAAGAGGAAAGAACAGTGGTTCATAGAAGGTCACACCCCAGAACTCAGAAAATGCCTGGTGATGAGCTGAGCTGTTGTTTTTCAGTCACTCAGTTGTGTCTGACTCTTTGTGACCACATGGACTGAAGCACGCCAGGCTTCCTTGTCCATCACTATCTCCCGGAGCTTGCTCAGACTCATGTCCATAGAGTCAGTGATGCCATCCAACCATCTTGTGTTCCGTTGACGCCTTTTCCTCCTGTCTTCAATCTTTCCCAGCATCAGGGTCTTTTCCAGTGAGTCAGCTCTTCACATCAGGTGGTCCAAGTATTGGAGCTTCAGCTTCAGTCCTTCTAATGAATATGTTTGATTTCCTTTAGGACGGACTGGTTTGATCTCCTTGCAGTCCAAGGGACTCTCAAGGGTCTTCTCCAGCACCATAGCTCAAAAGCATCAATTCTTTGGCTCTCAAGGCTTCTTTATGGTCCAACTTTCACATCCATTGAGTTGAGTTGGGTGGAGTTGAGCTGAGCTGATTCTTGGGATGGGCTGGGGGGAGGAGAAGGAGGAGCTGCCGGCAGGACCAGGGCACTGCGAACTGGCCTCTCCAGAGGCTCCTCCCGCCCAGGTCTGCCTGCTCCCTTGGGGCCCAGTCCTGACCCCGCTGCTGTCTCCTGTTAGGAAGCCTGGAGGAGAGAGGCCTCCTGGCATGGAATCAAGTCCAGGAGGAGTCTGAGGAGACTACGAAGGCCTTGGAGGTCTACGGCCTCCCCTGGGGAATCGGCACCAGGTTCTGCGTGTCCTCCTGCGCCCGCTACCTCCCCTTCTGGCCCGGGGAAGGCGAGGTGGGAGTGAGCCGGCTCTCGCTCTGCCCCTGGGACCCCTCAGGAGAGCGGCCCGAGAGCACCGTGGACACCCACATGTGAGAGGGCCCCGAGTGCACCGTCCCCACCATGTGCTCCTCTGCCCACCCACGCATGGGAGGTACCCTGTCGTCCTGAGCACCTCTGCGCCCCACACTTGGGGGCAGAGTTAGACAAGTGTTAGATTAAGGCCAGGGCAAGCGTGCTGTTACCCCGTCAGTGAGTCAGCGAGGTCTGGCCTCAAGCTACATCCTTACCCTGTGCTCCAGCCCTCCTGTCTCCAATGTAAACCAGTGCAGCCCGGTGTCCACACAGAAAGCCTCTAGGCAGTATTGATGGCTTGGGAGGCAGAGGCTTTGGGTGGGGCAGGGGACAGAGATGGGGCTGTTAGCTGAAAGGTGACAGTAACATTACTCTTCCTCCGCAAAGAAGTATGAGGCCTGCTGACCCCTCCCATCCAGGTTCCTCCCAGTGAGGCCCCTCCCCTCCAGGCCCCTGCCATTGGTAAACGCTGCCCTTGTGCTAAGTCACTTCAGTCATGGCCGACTCTGCAAGCCTTTGGACATTAGACCACCAGGCTCCTCTGTCCATGGGACTCTCCAGGCAAGAATACTGGAGTGGGTCGCCATTTCCTCCCCCAGGGGGTCTTTGCAACCCAGGGATGGAACCCGCCTCTCTTACCTCTCCTGCATTGGCAGGCAGGTTCTTTACCACTAGTGTCACCTGGGAAGCCCCTGTAAACACTGAAGGGTCTGCAAAGCTACAGTCCCTGCATATCCCCAGTGCTAGTCCTTGGAGTCAGATTGTGCATCACAGGATGGTATGGTGAGGCAGGGAGCACTGGGGGTGTGGAGTCAGATGGCACCAGGTTTGGACCCTGAGACTTAACCTGCACTTCAGGTTCTCACGGGGACATGAAACAGCCAAAGCCTCTGAAAGGCCATCAGTGGAGTGGAGCCACTGTCGTCATGAGTCATAAACTCTACAGAGCCAGGTGAGCCTGTTCTCTCTGCATCCTCAACGGATTAGTCAGGATTCTCTAGCAAAACGGAGCCAATAGGGTGTGTGTGTACATACATATATATACACATATATACATACATGTCTACAGAGAGACATATATATGTACACACACACACACGGGGAAGGCAGATGGAGAGACTGACTTCAGGATTGGGCTCAGGTGATTGTGGAGGCTGGCAAGTCTGAAGTCTGCAGGGTGGGCCATCAGGCTGGGATGAGTTGCAGCTGGAATCTGAAGGCAGTCCATGGAAGAATTCCCTCTTCCTGAGGAAGAATTAGGGCTTCCCTGATACCTCAGTTGGTAAAGAATCTGCCTGCAATGCAGGGGACCCTGGTTCGATTCCTGGGTTGGGAAGATTCCACTCCAGTATTCTTGGGCTTCCTTGTGGCTCAGCTGGTAAAGAATCTGCCTGCAATGTGGGAGACCTGGGTTTGATCCCTGGGTTGGGAATATCCAAGGGAACAGCAACCCAGTATTCTGGCCTGGAGAATTCAGGGCCATGGGGTCGCAAGCATGGTCTGTTTGGTCCTTCAACTTATTTGATGAGGCCCACCCACACTATGGAGGGTAATCTGCTTTACTCAAAGTCTGCTGATTTAAATGTTAATCTCTTCTTTAAAAAAACACCAAAACCTTCATAGAAATATCTAGAAAAATGTTTGACCAAGTACCTGGGTACCACGGCCTTGCCAAGCTGACATGTAATAATAACCATCACCCCCCGTACACAGGCTCAGGTGCCCTGATGCACTCTGCCCAGCAGCCTCACCAAAAAGCATTCTGAGCACTGTGGACCTGGTGTGGACTCCATTCAGGAGTCTTTATTGTCAGAAGCAGCAGATATAGGTGATTCTGCCTTGGTGTCCTGGAGCACAAGGTTGAGGTCAGCACTGCTCCTGGGCTCTTAGAGCTTGCAGGATGTGGGGTGGATGCCAGAGCTCTCTAGAACCCATCAACACAATGCCCTGAATGTGCTGCAAGTACCCAGTGTCAGGGGGCAGATCCTGGCCGTCCTGTTCCTGAAAGACTCCTGGCTGGCCTGGTCCTCGGGTGCTCCCCTGAACAGGAGCACGGCGGGAGCAGGTGTGTGCCCTGCAGCGGGCCAGCACCTCATTCAAAACAACTCCGAAAGACCGACACACAACCACACTGTTCTTGAATACTTTATAACAACCAGAAACTACAACCATCAAAATGCTTTCAGGACAGCCCACTCCAAAACGCCAAGTCAAGGGCAACTTGGGCTGCCAGAACTCCAAACCAGAGACCACCACCTTCCTCCATCCCCTCTGGCTTCCAACCCTCCTGCATCACAGATCTTCATCGTCAAACGTCTCCGTGCACCTCAACATTATCATCTCGTCATCGATGGGAAGGTCTGGTTCCTGCAAAACACAGGTAGAGGAGGATTCAAGTTTTATTTGAGGGCTCCAGGCCTCAGGTGGGGGAGATGGCCCCAACATCTCAGGCATGCCTCCTCCCTCTGCTTCTCCCCCACATCTCTTCAGTGGTATCTTCTCTTCCAGCTTCCAGCCAGGAAGTTAAGAGCAATGAGAGGCAGGGAGTCCATTTCCATTTCACTCGACTCCGTACTCTACAGTCTCCAGAAGGGCTTCTCCTGGATACAGTAGAACTGGCTTCTCTCCTCTCCTGGGGATTTCTAAGATCCCGTCAGTGAGACAGGGGCAATCTTAAAGCTTTATCCAAATGCCCTCAACAAAGGATGATGAATTATACCACAATGCACCCACCCGTGGAATACCATGCAGCTGCTTCCAATAAAAGGAAAGGGATCCTTCTCTGTGGGATACTCTATCTTAAAAGAGCAAGGTCCAAACCAGTGTGTATGGTGGGCTACCAATTGTGTTTGATGTATGTGTGCTCAGCTGTGTCTGACTCTTTGCGACCCCATGGACTGTAGCCTGCTAGACTTCTCTGTCCATGGCATTTTCCAGGCAAGAATATTGGAGTGGGTTGCCATTTCCTTCTCCAGGAGATCTTCCCGACCCAGGGATCGAACCTGAGTCTCCTGCATTGCAGGTAGATTCTTTACCACTAGTGCCACCTGGGAATACCATATGTATTTGCTAGATTATATAAATATCTGGAGAATATTTTTGGATGACCGTATAAGAAATTGGTCATGATAACTGCCTTTGGGGAAGGGAATACAATAGGAACAAGGGACATTGGTAGGTGAGAGACTACGTTTTCTTTGTATATCTTTTGGTAACATTTAAACTTTAAACCATGTTCATGGGTTAGCTATTTGGACATCATTTTGAAAAGAAACAGCATTATGTTAATTTAGCAAGCGTTTCTCATTCCCTTAATGATGACACCAGCTAACCTCTCTGATTCCTCATTAACTCTTCCCCTAAAAGTACATTCCTGGGTTTGTGTTCTTCCTGCGTATCCCCACTAAAGCAGAAAAATCACCCCTGTAATTTGTTAGCCCTGCTCATTAGGGGTTGATTCCCTTGGGCCTTGGGAAGCACCCCTAATCCAGCCAACCATCTCATGGATGTGGGACCAGATTGGGGGTGATTCTGAGAATGAAGCCTCTTCAGCTCTGCTGTAAGCTGAAGTCATCCTGGATTTGGGGTGTGCCCTCGATCCAAATGATAGGTGTCCTTACAAGATGAGAGGGACAGAGAGACACACAGAAGATGGAGGCAGTGATGCAGCTACAAGTCCAGGGATCTCTGGCATTGCTGGGAGCCTACCGGGAGCTAGGAAAAGGCAGGAAGAATTCTCCCCTAGAGGTTTCAGAGGGAGCATGGCCTGTCAACACCGAAACTGGGCCTTCTGGGGAAATAAATTTTTGTTGTTAAGCCCCTGAGTTTGTGGTAATTTGTTACATCAGTCCTAGGAAACCAATACAGGTACTGTATTAAGTTTCATCCAACCACCTCCCTGAAGCCAACAGTGAGGGATGAACGGGGAAGAGAATGCAGCTGCCCTCTTTACACTCCCTGTACCAAGGCCTGAGGCCTCCTGCATGAGGACATTCTTGGGCAGCTTGTTCAAGACACAGATTCCTGGGGCCACATCTCACAACACTGAATGGAAATCTTGGGTGTGGGGATGTCAGGAATCTGCATTCCAGTGAGTTCCCAAGGTGAGTCAAGTCTGCCTCTGCTTTACATGGGCTCCAGTCCTGCCAGTTCTTTCTTTCCTGCAATGTGTAGAGTAACGAAGTGGGGAAAACAAAGACTGTCCCATCCATCTGCTCTCAAAGCCTTGGTAAAGTGACCTGACTTCACTGTATCCAGAGAAAGGGACTCAGTGGTCAGGGCTGGTGGCCAAGGGTTGGTGCGGGGGGGCTGCAGAGAGCAAACTGCAGGGAAGGGTCTTGGCTCCAAGTGGTCTCAGCAGACGGAAGTGAAGGGTGAGCAGGAAAGGGGCCACACTGAAAAGCTGCCCTGATTATTTTTGGCCGTTTTCATCACTATCATGTACCTTTTAAAATAAACAGCTATATTTTTGCTAAATCAGTGGGAAAATCCATGGCTCTGAATCTGAAAGGGGCTGTCTCCTTGACAGTTCATGAATAACCCCCTCCCTCCACGGAAACTTCCAGGAATGGACCTTCTAACCAAGACCCCCACAATGCATGTCACTGTGGGCTGCACAGTCAGCTTTTTGGAAGCAAAAATTAATATCCTTCAAAAGCTGACAGCAAATATTACCCCAGGGTCTCAGAAAATGATGAACTAGTTCAGCTTCTCAGAAAGGCATCAAGGAATCACACATGTAGGAATGCCTGCCAAGGGCCAGGCCTCTGAGGTCTGGTCCCTGCCTCAAGGTTCCCAGGCTCGGATGTGCCCTGAAGAGCATCCCTCTGCCTTTTCCCTGTTTCCCTGGACATGCTCCTTCCACAAGATGCATTAGACTAAAGTCACCTATCTGTGGAAGAACGTCCCCCGTGGTGTGAACTGGGCAGCTGCAGCCAGTGTGCCCCTCCAGTGTGCCCCTCCAGTGGCCCCTCCCCTCCCCACCATCTGAGGGGAGGCGAGCCAAGGCCTGACTGCACCCTGCTCCATCCTACCTGCTTGAACTGAGTGTTAACACAGCAAAGGCCTTTGAAAAAATCGATGATCTGCACGTAGAGCTGAAACATCTCCTCAGGACTTTTTGGGTTGCAGACGGCCAACATGGAACTAACGGCAGAAAGGAGGAAGAAACAGCATTTAGAATCCTAACTTTTTACCTCCGCTTTGTTGTTGCTGTTCAGTCACTAAATTGTATGTGACTCTTTGTGATCCCATGAACTGGAGCACGCCAGGCTTCCCTGTCATTCACCATCTCACGGAGTTCGCTCAAATGCATGTCCATTCGTTCGGTGATGCCATCCAACCGTCTCATCCTCTGTTGCCCCTTCTCATCCTCCCCGCAATCTCCACCTCTGCTTGCACCCTCTAAAATATCTGGATTACAATGAGAATCAAACACTTTGAAGCACGCAGCTGAACCCTCCCGTGGCCCAGCGCCTTCTGTGGAAGGTTTGCACCACCCCAGTTCCAGCATCATGTCTGGAAGCTGCTGGGGAAGCAAGACTACAGGGAGGCTGGCCCATGGGTCCTTGTTCAGTGTTCTGAGCTGTGGTCTGGGGAACAAGGAGCAAGATCTCCTCTCTGCCCAAAGTCAGGCTCTGCTCCCACCCGTGGCTGCCCAGGCTCAGGAAGCCCAAGGCATGATCAAGTTCAGTCCCTTGACATGCCTTTGCTCAGGAGGTCTAACATAAAACGCCAGCCCTGGCACAGACGGAAGGCTGCCCTGAAGATTTTTTTCCTGCTCTTTTCTGGGACAAGGGGAGAAGCCCACCAACGGGACCGTGAATCAGGCCTGGACAGCTGGTGGTGCTTTGACCTCACCTTACTTTTTTTTTTCCCCTAATTGGTTGTTTTCTGTTCCACCAGCAGGGTGAGGAGTTAACAAAATTATTTGTCAAGTACACTTTGGCCACTTTTCAACCAAATTGTGTTCACAGCCCAAGCCCAACAAAGAAATAGCAATGTCTGTCTCCAGCTGGTTTCAGCAAAATCAAACTCTATACAGCAGGGAAGAGTCACCACAGAAAATCGCTTTGAGATTTTGGGCAAGTCTGGCTGGACTGGGGGTAGGGGAGGGGGTGGCAGCTGAGTTGCAAATACTGCAGTCTGATCTGCCTGCAGGCTTCCAGGGCTCCAGGCTGGAGCCACAGGCCTTAAAAAGAATGGAGATGTTCTTTGGGATCATGAGAACAAGAATGTCACCTCACTCACAAGGCAGAAAGACTACATGTTCTTGATGCTTTAAAAAAAAACATTTTTTTTATTTGGCTCTGTGGGTCTTACTAGCAGCACACAGGATCTAGTTTCCTGACCAGGGATCCATCCCCAGCCCCCTGCTTTGAAAGTGTGGAGTCTTAACCACTGGATGACCAAGGAAATCCCTTCTTGCTCCTTTGTAACCAGGTATCTGAGGGGGCTGTGCCTTCAGGCTGTAAGACCACAGCTTTTCAAAGTAGCAAGGAAATTTTAGTGCTAAACTCTCTCTTTCTGAGGAAACAAAACTGTTTTTTTTATGTGTGTGTGTGTGTGTTTAAAAAAACCAAGCTGCTTCTTGTTTTAAAATCTCCCCAGATGCTCTTCTGACTTCAGGGGGTCATCCCCTCCTTCTACATCCTTCCCATCAGCACTGTGAAAACAGCTCCTCCCCTTGTGCAATTCAGAGACCCTGTCCCTCCCCGCCAGGCTCAGGCATGGGGCCTGTTGCCACGTTGGCCCAGGCTCTCTGTGCCCCAGAGCTCCCTGTCCACCTCTCAAACCAGACTGACTGCTGTAACCCACCCACGGCCACCTCACCCCAGGAGACAGTGCAAACCACCTAGAGTTGACAACTCTGGTTGATGTATCTCAGCCCTGGACCATAACGGAAGAACTGTCTATGTTGAAGAAGCCTTGTGTGTGTGTGTGTTTAAAAAAACCAAGCTGCTTCTTGTTTTAAAATCTCCCCAGATGCTCTTCTGACTTCAGGGGGTCATCCCCTCCTTCTACATCCTTCCCATCAGCACTGTGAAAACAGCTCCTCCCCTTGTGCAATTCAGAGACCCTGTCCCTCCCCGCCAGGCTCAGGCATGGGGCCTGTTGCCACGTTGGCCCAGGCTCTCTGTGCCCCAGAGCTCCCTGTCCACCTCTCAAACGAGACTGACTGCTGTAACCCACCCACGGCCACCTCACCCCAGGAGACAGTGCAAACCACCTAGAGTTGACAACTCTGGTTGATGTATCTCAGCCCTGGACCATAACGGAAGAACTGTCTATGTTGAAGAAGCCCCAGAGAAGATCCTCCCCAGGGCAATGGCACAATCCTAGAACCAGCCTCTTCTGAATCATAGGAAAAAGTGTATTTCCAAGAACTTCCACTGAACTATGCTCCCCTCTGACAGGCTGCAAGGGAGAGGGTCCTAAACACCCCAGCAGGGACACACACACACACACAGAGTCTCATACCCCTCCTTACCTGGGGATAGATGTGCCTGGAGCTTCACTTTTGTCCAGGAAACTTGCCACATCAAAGGCATCTTCAAAAAGGATCTGAAAGAAACCATAAAACTTCATGTGTTAGAAATCCGCCACACTCTGATGTTTGTTCTGGGCTGCTGAGGGATAGAAAGGCTCCCTACCCCTTGTCCCCAAAGGGATGCATGTTAAAGATGAGGCCCAAACCCAGGGTCTCTGCTTGGTGACATTTACAGGGGATGAATATTAAGTTCTTGCCCACCCAGAACACACTGCCAACCCCAGAGAGTGGCTGAGAAATGGGGAAGCATTGGGGACCATGATCTCCTCTTTTTAAAGAGGGTGGGAGCTTAGGTGGGAGAGGCAACAGCCAGAGGTGAGCCCCTGTTTACATGGGAAAGGGCTCATCTACACCGCCTGAGGGACAGACTGAGCCCAGGATCCACAATCTAGTAGTTTCATGCCAGGGGAACAGAGGTTAAGGGATCTCTGCAGTTAGGTTGCAGAGAGCCCACTCCCAGGGTGGATGTGCCACAGTCAACCCATGTCCCTGCCCCACCTCCACTCCGCCTTGGGAGTCCCTTGCAGTCACACTAGTCACCTGGGGTGCTTGTTAAAAACAGATTCTGAGCCATCCCCTTGAAGACTCGGATTCAGTGGGTCTAGAGTACTAGCCAAGCACCTATCTTTTAACTAAATTCCACTTGAGAAGCATGGGGAGATCATGGAGGGTTAACCATAAATAAGTGACCAAAGGGCAGAGATTTGAAAAAAAAAAAAAATCTGTGATAAAGGATGCAATCCTTAAAGCAGGAACTAGGCATCCTGGATAGGTCCTCCCCCACACTGGGCTTGTCTGAGAGCTGGAAGGACACGGGGACAGTACTTTCCCATGCCTGGCCCTGGAGTCTGGGAGGCCTCCTAGGGAACGTGGTATCCAGGGATGTCCACTGGATCACAGAAAAAGTTAGAGAATGCCAGAAAAACATCTGCTTCATTGACTAATTCAATGTCGCAGAGTCAGGCACAACTGAGCAACTGAACAAGAACAACAAGCAAGGAGACCCAGGGGCAGATGAAAGTGGGAATACTCAAGAGGTGTTATCAGTTTATTTTGTTAGTTATTAGCAGTTCAGCATAAAATGGTGTGAAAAGTAGCAGAATCTATTAATATAGGCCTGAACTGCTTTTGCTGCTCCTTTTATCCAAGACTATAAAACAAACACAACTTGTTTCCATAATGCTATTCTCTGCTTTTTCAATGTACCTGGCCCTTTTTTCTATAATCCTATTCTCTGCTTTTTCAATGTACCTGACCCCTTGTTATTTTTATATGAATTCATTAAGACCTGTGTTTTGTGCTACCTATCTTGTATACTAGAAACTCTGATGAAGATATACATTTTAAATGAAATTACTGTATGAAATAATCCTTTCTTAGGGAAAAAGTTACTATCTATTGTGGATGTCAATTAAGAGTTCTCTCCTCCTTCTGCTTCTCTAATAATGACCCTAGTCCCCCCAGTGTATTTAATAATCTTGAAAAATTATTAATCTATAACCAAATTCAAAGGTCAAAAGCAACAGTTAGAACCAGACATGGAACAATAACTGCTTCAAAATTGGGGAAAGGAATACATCAAGGCTGTACATTGTCACCGTGCTTATTTAACTCATATGCAAAGTACATCATGTGAAATGCCAGGTTGGATGAAGCACAAGCTGGAATCAAGATTTCTGGGAGAAACATCAGTAACCTCAGATATGCTGATGGCACCACCCTTATGGCAGAAAGCGAAGAGGAACTAAAGAGCCTCTTGATGAAAGTGAAAGAGGAGAGTGAAAAAGTTGGCTTAAAACTCAACATTCAGAAAACTAAGATCATGGCATCTGGTCCCATCACTTCATGGCAAATAGCTGGGGAAACAATGGAAACAGTGACAGACTTTATTTTGGGGAGGCTCCAAAATCACTGCAGAGGATGACTGCAGCAATGAAATTAAAAGACACTTGATCCTTTGAAGAAAACCTATGACAAACCTAGACAGCAGAGACATTACTTTGCCAACAAAGGTCCATCTAGTCAAAGCTATGGTTTTTCCCAGTCATGTAGGCATGTGAAAGCTGGACAATAAAAAAGACTGAATACTGAATAATTGATGCTTTCTATCTGTGGTGCTGGAGAAGGCTCTTGAGAGTCCTTTGGACACCTAGGAGATTAAACCAGTCTTAAAGGAAATCAACCCTGAATATTCACTGGAAGGACTGATGAAGTTGAAGCTCCAATGCTTTGGCCACTGGGGTGTGAAGCGCCAACTCATTGGAAAAGACCCTGCTGCTAGGGAAGGACAGAAGGCAGGAGAAGGGGACGACAAAGGATGAGATGATTGGATGGCATCACTGACTTAATGGACATGAATGTGATCAAACTCCAGGTGATAGTGAAGAGCAGGGAAGCCTGGCGTGTGCAGTCCATGGGGTCACAAAGAGTCGGATACGACTGAGTGCCTGAGCAACAACGAGGGCAGTTCCCCCAGCGTCAGAGGCACCTGGAGGTTCTCTGGCTCTAAGACTCCCCAGAGAGACACCGGACCTCTCCTCAAAGAAACCACCTGCTGAGGAACGTTTGAAAAGTCAGGGCAAAGCAGCGTGGTGGCGCCATGCAAGCTGAATGTCTTGCAAAGCACTAGATTAGGAGCAGAGAAGCAAAGAACTGCCCGCTCCGCTAGAGCAGGGAGGAGAGATGCGGCCCCAAGTGGGAGCAGCAGCCTTCCGCGGCTGTCCTAATTCTGGAAGAGCAGCGGAGGAGCCCACCTTGATCTCAGCGCTCAGCGACCGCTAACGCGCACCAGCACTCTGCTTGGCTGACCATGGCCGGCATTAACACCTTCAACTTCGAGCATTTACAGTAAACGCATGGGTACCTACTCTCTATTCCCTAACGCTCTGTGGGGTGGGAGGGAACTGACCCCCCTCAGGTCTTGGCCCTGATTGGTCCAAACAGAATTCTATCTTGGTTTTTCATTGGCTCAATAACCTGGCAATCTAGCAAATTCTGACCAATGAGAGGGAAGGAGAGCCATGGAGGAAATTTCTGGAGATGTTCTTCCTTGATGCTTAAGAGCCAGAGGCAGTCTTTTCTCTTGCCTGACGTAGAGGATGTATGGATGTGAGAGTTGGACTATAAAGAAAGCTGAGCGCCGAAGAATGGATGCTTTTGATCTGTGGTGTTGGAGAAGACGCTTGAGAGGCCCTTGGACTGCAATCCAACCAGTCAGTCCTAAAGGAAATCAGTCCTGAATTGACGATGGACAGGGAAGCCTGGAGTGCTGCAGTCCATGGGGTCGCAAAGAGTCGGACACAACTGAGCGACCGAACTGAACTGAACTGATGTAGAGGAGAAGGAATAATAACTTGATTGCTACTGGCCGCCGTTCCACAGTTTTACCCTGTGCGGGAAATGGGGAGGGCGGGAAAGGTGAGATGCCAGCCTTGAGAGAAGGCAGAGCAGGGGAGAAGGGAAGTACCGAATCTACGGCCACACGGCCGGGAGACATAGCGGAAGTCCTCCTGCCGCGGGCCCTCCCGGGTTGGGCAGAGTACATCACCTCTTGGTTTAATGAGCGAGTACTTGAAGCTGAAAGAATCCTAGTGGATACAGCCTTCTAAGCCATCTCTTCTGTAATCCCCATGGAAAGGCCAGGAAGGTAACAGGAGAAAAATAAATGTTCTGTGGTTGTGCATATATGTCGGGAAAATCAGAAACGTACCGCGCCAACATCCAGAGAGCACCTCCAGGTGGCTGTGGGAACCCTGCTAACTTGCCGGGGCGTCTCCAGGCACATGATGGAGTCATTCCTATCCACCCTCCATCCCACCCGTGGGTCGGCTCACCTCCTCGGGGGTGGAGACGAGCGAGCAGCTGGCACCCTGGCTGTCAACCCCGCTGTCCTTCATGCTGCCCTCGGCGCAGGCTGGCTCGGGATAGGACCCCACGAGGCCGCTCTGTGTCTGCTCCCAGGCCCGCAAGAGGATGGTCTTCATCTCCTCCGAGAGGATCTGCCACAGATAGGAGATGGCCGCAGACACGATGGGGAGCGTCACCTCCTTGGAGGAGATGATCTTGTTCCTGGTCAGAAAGTCCATCATCTGCTTGTAAAAGTTGAGGTACCTGTAACCGAAAGGGCAGTGACCCCCAGACCTGAACCCAGCGGCCCGAGGTCCCCCGACCGGAGGCGGCTCCTCGGGATCCCGTGGTGGGGAGGGGGGCGGTGAAGAGCACAGGCCTTGCCCCGCACTGTGGTTCACCAGGGACTCAGCCTCTATTAGTCTCCACCAGCCCTGACCAGAGCAGTGCAGAGCCAGCTTGGGGGCCATGGGCGACTTAGTTTTGTGTTTTGGGGTCCCTTCCTAAGTCCTCCCAGCACCCTCTGTGAAGCTCACTGTCAGACAGAAGAGAGGATGAGAGGCAGGGCAGGCCGACTCTCTCTCACCAGGGGAACACGGCTTCAAATTTAGAGCCCAGGAATGTGCAGACATGATAGGAGCCCACTTAAATTTGGAAGCTGTGGAGTAAGCCTCTTTCTGTTGAGCCAACTCCTTCAAGCCCACATACATGGATGTGTTCAGCCTTGAGTTTGCGAAGGAGCAGTGAATAGCAGGTGGAATCTGGGCTAGCCATTCACTGCTTCCCTTGCTTCAAGACCAATCATGCTGCGGGGGTGGGGAAGCACTTTAGCCCTCAAATCACACCAACAGACCCCCACAGTGTCACTCCAGATAAAGTCAGTCTAAGGAAACAGTGCATGTGCTGCGCGAATGTGGTTTCAAGACTATTTCTCTAGCCCCTCTGCCAACCCCATCCCCGAGCCCTTCCTGTGTGGAAATCTGGAGGGCCCGTGACTCAGGGCCTGTAGGGTGCTTCCGCTGGAGCACTTGTCCCCTTCCCCACAGGCGCTAGGCCTTTCACACCGTTCAAATTCCAAGAGATCTGGCAGCAAGGTGACGGAGGAGTTTAAGAGCTCCACTTTTTTCTCCTCTTCCTCCTCCACCTCCTCATACTCTTCCTCCTCTTCTTGGTCTTCCTCCTCCTCCTCTTCTTCCTCTTCTTCCTCCTCAACATCGTTCCCAGCTGCCTCGATGGAGCACCAAGTGTCCGAGACTTTCCAGTGAACTTTATTTGACACCAGACTAGGGAGAAAATAGAAACAAGACAATTACAGGCTAATTTCCCTCATGAACATCAAGGATGAACATTTTAATACAGTTTTAGCATATTTTATATATATTACATATATGCATAAGTGGGCTCCCCCAATAAGTGGGCAGGTAAAGAATCCGCCTGCCAGTGCAGGAGACACAAGACACACAGGTTTGATCCCTGGGTCAGGAAGATTCCCTGGAGTAGGAAATGGCAACCTGCTCCAACATTCTTGCCTGGAACATCCCATGGACAGTGGAGCCTGGTGGGCTACAGTCCATGGGGTCACAAAGAGTTGGACATGACTGATGTGCCCGAGCCTTCAGGCAACATGGTGCTCTTACCCTACCTACCCTACCCTACATATGTATAAATACATTATGACCAAGTGAGGTTTATCCTAGGAATATAAGGTGGCTTATTCAAACTTTGAAAATCAATCAGTGTAGCTCACCATATCAACAGATTAAGGAAAAATATTAATTTCAATATGTGCAGAAAAGCATTTGGCAAAATTCAACATTCATTCATGATTTTAAAAAACTCTCAGCAAACTAGGAATAGAAGGGAATTTCTTTAACCTGATAAAGAGCATCTATAAAAAGCCTATAGCTAACATCATACTTAACAGTAAAAGATTGGTTATCTACCAAGATCAGGAACAAGAGAAAGATGTCCTCTCTTACCACTTCTATTCAAAATTATGCTGGAGATTATAGCCCATCCCAAAGGATGAACCAAAGAAATGAAAGGTGTACAGATTGGAGATGAGGAAATAAAATTGTCTTTGTTTGCAGACAATGTGATTATCTATGTAGAAAATCCCAAAGAACCTAAAAATATGTGGTCAGAACTAAGAAGGAAGCAAGGTTTCAGAATACAAAGTGGATATACAAAAACCAATAGTATTTCTGTAAACTAGCAATGAATAACTGGAAATTGAAATTTTAAAAGTAGCATTTACAGTAGCACCCAAAACCATGGTTAAATATTTGGGTTTAAACTAAAAGCTCCACCTAAAAAAGAAAGCAATGAATAAATTGGACTTTAAAGTTTTTAATTCTGCTCTTCAGAAGACAGTTTTAAGAGAATGAAACAATATAACGCAATTTGGAAAACCAGGGCTTGTACTCAGAATCTCTTCATACTGACAGGAATAATCCCCAAGGCATCAGATTGAGTCAAAAGGCAAGTGCATCAGAAGATAGCACAGGAGGGGTCTCAGTTTCTCTCTCTCTTTCTGTTTAATTTCAGAGTGGAAGAAGTCTTTCTGACTACTCACCTAACATCAGGTGCCATTGTAGATCGACAGATTAGACTTCATTTTTGCATGGACAAAACAAAAAACAGAAATGCTGAAATAGTAAAACAACCAACCAAGGTATGATTGTTTGTAGTCTATAAACTAGAAGGAGAGCTGATTTCTCATGATATGTAAAGTGCTTCTACCACTAAGAAAAAGACCACCAACTGAACAGGAAAATGGGCAGAAATTAGGTAAAAAAAAAAAGCTTCCAGGAAGGGAAATACAAACGACCCTGAACAAAGGCACTTAAGCTTACTCATAATTTAATTAATTAATTAAAAATACAATAATTATAAAATGCAATTAATCTAGTCCTCTACTGGTACCACACTTTTAATTATTGCAGGCTTATAATAATTCTAGTGAAAAATCTTCCCTAATTAATATGATTCTGAAAGAAATTTAGCCATCCAGATGTGGGTGATACAAGTATTAATAAGATTTTAGTATGTGATAGTGTTCATATGTTAAATCAGGAGGGAAAGCATGGCTTACGTAATAAATGGGGGGTAGAGTCAATAGCTAACGTCTGCCTCACTGAGATCGTCTCCCAGGCTGATTTCTAGGTGGGGCCAGTCTGATTTGTAAAATATGGCCACATATACCCTGCCACATATACTCAATACACACACACACACACACACACACACACACACACCATTTGCCCCTTCCCCTTCACATGACCAAACAGTGAGGATTATGATTATAGGTGATTACACCCTTCTTAATACTTTTCTGTATTCTCACAGTGTCTACAATGTGAATTTAATTTAATCATTTCTCTCCTGATTATTTCCTTTAGGATATAGTACACATTCGCTGTTTTAAAAAACTGGAAATACAGAAAAGCACAGAGAAGACAATATAAGAAATCAGAAACCCCGCCCAATATGAAGGGAAACAACATCACTTGGCCTCCGCGCGTTCTCGGGAGCTTCTGATCACAAGCCGTGTGCAGTCCCCTTTTCAGAGTGAGTAAGACTGTTTACACACGTACTCGGGTGCCTCCTCAGAGGCCCGTCTGAGCCTACACCGTGCTGGAAACACTCTGGGGCCACCAGAGATGAGGCGGGCCGGTCGTGGTCCCCAGAGTCCAGGCCGCGCTTGAGGCAGCTGTGCGGGCTGAGGCGGTGCAGGGCGCGGGTCACCCTTTGAGGGCGCAAGGACTGAGTCTGCGCAGTGCACGTCCAAAGGTGCGAGAGCTAAATGGCCCCCGCGAGGTCACAGACGTGCGAGACGCTCCGCAGTCAGCCTCTCTTGTCTGAGTGCCATGTTATAAGTGAGGTTCCCCTTTCAGCACCCCTTCCCCTTGCAGCACCTACATGTACTACTTTTTCTTCTCTGACATCCTTTTTAGCTTTTCTTAGCTTCCTGTGAAGCTAGAAAGTAGGCAGAGATTTGGATTTCCCTTATCTTCTTATGTATCTTTCAGTAAAACCATTAAATAAGTTTTTTAAAAGCTATAATACTATATGAATACTGTGATCTCATTTCTCTACAAAATAATGTGCAAAATAAAAGAAAATGATATTCTTGATGGTTAACATTGATTTTCTTTGAGTGGTGAGATAAGTACTTTCATGTTCTTTTTCGGGTACTTCTGTTCTTTTTGACATTTTCTGTTAATAAGTAGGATTATTTTTATATTCGGGAAAAATCCAATACATGGGATTAGGATAACACAGAGTAGAGAACTCTCCAGCACGAAGCTGTTCTAAATCGATAAGCAGTGTCTCTCACTCTGCTCCGCATTCTGGCGGGGAGGGTGGGCTGCCGAGCCGCAGTTGAACTGTGGTAGAAGAGCGGCATGTCCTGGGTCTCCTGGTGCTTGGGGCTCTTACCTGGGGTTTCTGGAGTACATGCTGGCATATGCTTTCTTGGCCTCCTCTAAGCTGTTTGCATTCCCATCCTCCAGGTTGAAAGATTCTATTAAGGAGTTGAAGGCAAGGGTCACACGTGATAAAGTCGGGACTTGGTCCAGTCTCTCCTGCCTTTCTGGACTGCGTGGACCATGGGTGGTCGCTAAGCCCACCCAGGTTCAGGGTTAGGGGTCAAGAGCCCAGTTTCACCTCTCTTTTTAGATGGGAGGGGTTGAGGGACAGGGGAAGAGCTTCTTGAGCCGGCCCTTCTCAGTCAAGGCATGAAGAGCACCCCTTTCAGAATTCAGCTTCCACTGGCTCGTGAAAACCCAATGTCCACCCTGAGTGCCAAAGAAGGGAGACAGCTTCTGCCCTTTGCTTTCAAGTTGGACAGCCCCGGTCCACTTCTCTGGCCTCTCAAGAGGAGGTCAGGCACCTGGGAAGGAACTCCTCTTGCTCACACAGCCCGCTGACGTTTGTCCATCCTGCCAGACCCTAAGCTCGCTGAGGACAGGGGCATGGGTCTCATCGTACCCCTGGTCTAGGCACAATGCCTGGCACACAGTAGGCTCTCAGTAAATATATGTTCACTTGGCTTACCCCAATCTCTCTGTTTTCAACAGAAAAAACCAACCAGCCCTACTCTGGGAGGCAGAGGGGTGGCAGCTATGGATCACTTACCTTTCAGCTTCAGTAGCTCATCCAAAGTTTGTTCCAGTTCCTGAATATGATTCTTCGCCTTATTCAAAACTTGCCACTGAGGACAGAGACAGACAGTGCGTAGAAGCCGGCCTCCCCTCGCAGAGTTGGTTTTGTGAACACGGAAGCCCCTTTCCTGCCCTGAAGCCACCCCCACCTCGGGTGCAAAGTCTCAGTCTTTGACATTGTCAACAGAAAGGGCAGGAGTTAGTTCCGAGCCACAGAAGGTACGACATTTACTTTGTATTCTGGAAATGGTTCTCACAGAAATATCAAAGCATTTGGAAACCATTAAGCTGTGTTCAGCAGACAGTTAGGGCTGCAAACAACTATAGACGCGCTGTGAAGTTGGGATGGACAATGTCTGCAGAGGCAGCAGAAAGCCCCCTCCTCCCCCCATTAACTTATGCTCACTTCGCACAGTGTGCTACAGGTGGGTTAACAGTAAATGTACTAGTTTAGTACTAGTAAATGTACTAGTTAGTAAAAATACAAAAATGTATTTTTGTTTGCCAAATGCATACATTCTAGTTGACCTAAAGTCTTATCAAGTGCTCTGTCAATTTGAACTATGAATTTCCTGTCCTGCAAAAATAGAATCACAAGCATTTCCTTGCTCCCTCCTTCCCTTTCTTCTCCACTGGATGTAACATTATTCAAGTCAAAATGGTAACTGCAAGATTATACAACAATGAGAAACGCTGAATATTGTGTATTATGCAGACCGCCCAGTGCCTGTGAGGAGTCCCAGACCTTCCTCAGGCATGCACAAGGGCAAAGAGCTGTGTGCCCAGTCCAGGGTCACAGAGTAAACAAAACTGCCCAGCTTTCAGGCCGCTGACATTCTAAGAGGGAAGATGAGCGTGGAGACAACCACTCATCACACAGAACACACCACAGCCCCTCTTAATGCAGAATTCGGTAAGCACCGCAGAGGACTGTGGGAGGGCTGGCAGGGGAGGAGGAGGGACCCACCCTCCTGGAGGGCCCGACTGAATCCTGCTGGCGCGTGAAAAGGTGACTGGAGGGCAACTAAAGGCACCCCACTCTGCAGACCCACGGGACGTGAGGTCAGGCACCTGGGAAGGAACTCCTCTTGCTCACACAGCCCGCTGACGTTTGTCCATCCTGCCAGACCCTAAGCTCGCTGAGGACAGGGGCATGGGTCTCATCGTACCCCTGGTCTAGGCACAATGCCTGGCACACAGTAGGCTCTCAGTAAATATATGTTCACTTGGCTTACCCCAATCTCTCTGTTTTCAACAGAAAAAACCAACCAGCCCTACTCTGGGAGGCAGAGGGGTGGCAGCTATGGATCACTTACCTTTCAGCTTCAGTAGCTCATCCAAAGTTTGTTCCAGTTCCTGAATATGATTCTTCGCCTTATTCAAAACTTGCCACTGAGGACAGAGACAGACAGTGCGTAGAAGCCGGCCTCCCCTCGCAGAGTTGGTTTTGTGAACACGGAAGCCCCTTTCCTGCCCTGAAGCCACCCCCACCTCGGGTGCAAAGTCTCAGTCTTTGACATTGTCAACAGAAAGGGCAGGAGTTAGTTCCGAGCCACAGAAGGTACGACATTTACTTTGTATTCTGGAAATGGTTCTCACAGAAATATCAAAGCATTTGGAAACCATTAAGCTGTGTTCAGCAGACAGTTAGGGCTGCAAACGACTATAGACGCGCTGTGAAGTTGGGATGGACAATGTCTGCAGAGGCAGCAGAAAGCCCCCTCCTCCCCCCATTAACTTATGCTCACTTCGCACAGTGTGCTACAGGTGGGTTAACAGTAAATGTACTAGTTTAGTACTAGTAAATGTACTAGTTAGTAAAAATACAAAAATGTATTTTTGTTTGCCAAATGCATACATTCTAGTTGACCTAAAGTCTTATCAAGTGCTCTGTCAATTTGAACTATGAATTTCCTGTCCTGCAAAAATAGAATCACAAGCATTTCCTTGCTCCCTCCTTCCCTTTCTTCTCCACTGGATGTAACATTATTCAAGTCAAAATGGTAACTGCAAGATTATACAACAATGAGAAACGCTGAATATTGTGTATTATGCAGACCGCCCAGTGCCTGTGAGGAGTCCCATACCTTCCTCAGGCACGCACAAGGGCAAAGAGCTGTGTGCCCAGTCCGGGGTCACAGAGTAAACAAACCTGCCCAGCTTTCAGGCCGCTGACATTCTAAGAGGGAAGATGAGCGTGGAGACAACCACTCATCACACAGAACACACCACAGCCCCTCTTAATGCAGAATTCGGTAAGCACCGCAGAGGACTGTGGGAGGGCTGGCAGGGGAGGAGGAGGGACCCACCCTCCTGGAGGGCCCGACTGAATCCTGCTGGCGCGTGAAAAGGTGACTGGAGGGCAACTAAAGGCACCCCACTCTGCAGACCCACGGGACGGTGACAGGACACCCAGCGGACCACGGGGATCTCGGACTGCTCCTTTAGAGCAGGGCCCCTGCCGTCCTACACTGGCTGCTGGCCCCGGTCCCGGGCTCAGAATTACACTGCTGGGTCAGCAAGGACTCTGTCCACTCTCGGGATACCCGGGGCCGACAGGCTGCCTGAACCTCAGGCTTGGGAGGCGAGGACTTTCCAGCCCTCTGGGCCAGGACGGTCACCTGTGTCCGCGCAGCACGGCCACCCCATGCCCGCCTTGCAGTCTGACTGTGTCACCTGGGCCAGAACAGAGCCAGGTGGGCCAGGGGCCGGTCACTGAAACTCTGTTTCTACAACATTTTTGGCAGGCTGATTTTCTTAGGACCTTTGTCTGAGTTGAATTATGTCCCCCTAAAAAAAGATGTGTTAAAGTCCTAACCCCCGGTCTGTGAGCGTGACCTTATTTGGAAGCAGGGCCTTTCTCGAGGTAATCAAGTGAGGTCATGAGGGTGGGCTCTAACTCAGTATGACCAGTGTTCTTATAAAAAATTCAGACATAGAGACAGACACACACAGTGACTGGAGTGACGCCTCTGTAAGCCAGGGAATGCCAAGGATTGCCAGCAAATGCCAGAAGCCAGAAGAGGCAGGAAGTGTTCTCCCCTAGGGCAGTCAGAGAGAGCCCAGTCCTGTGGACACCTGGATTTTGAACCTCTAGAGGCTAGACCTCTGAGACATTTCTGTTGTTCTAAGCCATCTCCTGTATGGTATTTTGTTTTGGCAGCCACAGAAAACTGGTACAGCCTTGCTGCCACACATGTGTGCATCTCACTCTTGTAAGGCAAATCCTTTCTGCATGGACACTACAAATGCAAAACTCAGCATTGTCCCTCCAGCAGGAGCACAAAGGAAGAACAGGACAGAAGATATTTGATTTCCAGGCTGCCCCCTGGCTGTGCCATCCCAGGCAAATAGTCTAACTTTCTGGAGCCTCAGTCTGCTCCTCTACAGAGTGAGGGTGACATGAACAGAGCTGGGAGGAAGAAATGAGGTGATGCATGGGGAAATGATACTAGCAATCTAAACTACCTAGGACCGTGCTATGTTTTTCATGCTTTTCCTTGTTAAACTCCACGGCAGGCCTCAGGAAACCGTGACTGGGGTCCCTGTTTAACCGATGTGTTAACTGAAGCTTAGCAAGGAACCTGCCTCACGTGGACTGACACCACTTAACAGCCAGGCTCTTGGCCACCACATCAGGAGGTATGAATTTTCAGGGGTGCAGAGGGTTTTCCTCTAGATTTACCTCCACTCCTTCCTGCCAGCCCCCAGTACCTGTTTTTCCTTCAGTTGTGCTGCCCGTCTCTGCACACTTCTTCACTGGCCAGTGACAGGGGCCTTGGGGTTGTTGTGCACCCTGGACGCATGTCACCCAGGGGGCACGGAGCAGAGCTGTTCTGGACAGGCCTTTTGCTGAGAGGCCTCTGAGGTCAGGCTAGTCTGCAGCGGGGAGGTAAGGCGCGGCTCTTAAGCTTTACCCACATGCAGCAGCAGCCAGAGCGCCGTGAGGTGTCACAGCTGGGTGTCCTTCTAGAGGNTGGCTTGGGGGAGGGGGGTTTGTGTATGCTTACAGTGGGAATGCAGGGTCTGGGCAGTGGCTGGAGGCTCACTGTGGCCCATGAGAGGGATGGGCATCAGTGTGGTCAGCTTACCTGGCCTCTCAGCGGCTCATTTCCCTCCTGAGGCCAGGCTTGTCTGCAGGGGGTAGGTAGGGCCCAGAGCAGACAGAGCGTCCCGAGGTGTCCACTGCGGGCCGCTGACCCACCTGGGCCGCAGCCCTAGGGGGTGGGGCTCCAGGCCAGTCTCCACCCTGCTCCACAGTCTTTCCACGTGTGACAGCTTTTCCTCCCTCCCCTCGGGTCCCCATACCTTTGAGGCTGTGAGATCAGAGTGGGAGTAGACAGCCTTCCTGAGGCTGCCGAAGAGCCCCGCCAGGGTTGCTCGGTGGCGGGCCTGGGACAGGCGTCTGCGGGCCACCCGCTGCTCCTGCTTCTGGAGGGGCCGGGGCGTCACCCCGCCTCCGGGGTTGCTGCCTTCTCCTGCAGTCTCCATGAGAGGCTGCAAGGTGCTAGGCTTGGCTTGGCCCTAAATAGTAAAGGTAAAATATTAAAGAGAAAGGAAGGTAGATTGAAGCCAAAAGGGGAACAATTCCCAAGTAAAAGGTCCCAAACCAATGAGTGTAATTGACAACAGATACACAGTCAACCATAGGTGATACAAAACCTGTTATCGAAACTCAATTCCTGAAAACCCAAGGTGCTCATACCTGACTTACAGTTGAAGGGCACAGCTGCTTTACAGCAGGAAGTCTCCAGGACCTTGCAGGTTCTCACTGGACACTTGTTAATTGACCACAGTGGCCAAGGAGGGCAGGCTGTACCCTGAGATCTCATTCTTTACAGTCTGTGAGAGGTGGGCAGGTGTGTCCCAACTCTGTGAGGTCTTCCCTAGCCACAGAATCAGAGGCCCATCCAGCCTGACGGCTAGGTTACATCAGAGGCCACCTTTTATAGTCTCCAATTTCCAGACACAGACAAATCTTAAATAGGAAGCAAAGTGAAACAGCGAAGTGAACAGGAAGCCCAGAGAAAAACAAGGGTTTCCCAGGTGGTACTAGTGGTAAAGAATCTGCCTGCAATGCAGGAGACCTGAGTTTGAACCCTGTGTCAGGGAGATCCCCCAGAGGAGGAAATGGCAACCCACTCCAATATTCTTGCCTGGAGAATCCCATGAACAGAGGAGCCTGGTGGGCTAGAGTCCATGGTGTCACAGAGTCAGATACGACTGAGGGACTAAGGACAGCACACCTTACAGGGAAAAACAAGAACCTTTCGAACTTAAGAATATGAGTCTTCTTTACCTGTTTAAATTAAAAAGAAATGCATGTGCCTGGACACCAGGGCATTTAGATTGACATTTAGGCTGAGGTAAAAACACCAAGGTCCTCCCAGAGTCTCAAATTCTCTAATAGTCTAGGCATATGAATGCCAAAGGCCTCTGGACTTGTGGGGAGTCTAGAGCTCTCCTGTGCCAATACTGATAATTTGACTTTCCTCTCAGGTTTCTTACCGGAACACATTCCTCTGGAACGATCTGCCCGTCTGTGAAGTTTGCCGCACGGGATAAGGGTGCAGCCCTCTGCCTCTCCTATAGGGGGCAGACACCCCCAAGACTTGCTGCCTCCAGAGGCTGCCTCCATAGCCTGTCTCCGTTTTTTTCCCTCCTACTTAGAATGCCCCCTTCCCCCGCCCCCGGTTTATACCTGTCTAGAGTCAGCTTGTCCTTCAGTTCTCAATTTAAGCCCCAATTTCTCTGAGAAGCTTTTCAGACTCAGGTCACACTGGCTTCTCATTTGAATCTTGTTTTGTCAACAAAAAAAGATCCTTTGTCAGGATCCATGTATTCAGCATCTAAAGTGTCTCTCCGAGAGTGCATCAGTATAAATATAAGACAGGATAGCAGGTGGCAGAGTGAGATGGTTAGATAGTGTTCTGACTCAATGCACATGAATTTGAGCAAACTCTGGGAGATAGTGAAGGACTGGGAAGCCACCTAGAGTTGAACTTAAAAAAAAAACAACAAAAACTTCCTAGGCTAAACTTTAAAAAAAACTGACTTCACCCTTTCCAAGTTTCAAAGTAACTTTCAATCATCTTAAATTATCAATCCCTAAACCATTTGAGTGTGATCCAGTTGTATTAGAGCTTCCCAGGTGGCACTAGCGGTAAAGAACCCTCCTGTCAATGCAGGAGACGTCGGTTGGATCCCCGGGTGGGGAAGATGCCCTGGAGGGGGACATGGGCAACCCATTCCAGTATTCTTTTCTGGAGAAGCCTGGCGGGCTACAGTCCATAGGATCACAAAGTTGGACAGGACTGAGGCGATTTAACACACGCACATGTGTGTGCATGTGTGCGCGCGCGCGTGCGCGCGCACACACACACACACACACACAGAGTCTCTTAGCAAATCATAAGTAAATGCATAGAAGACACTGGATGTTTTGCAACCCACCAGCAGCTTCCTTTGGTTCCCTATGCTTATAAGATCATGCTTAAACAAAACCCAGAATCATTCTCAGAAATCTGTAGGGTGTCAGCATGACATGTACAAATGTGCAAAAGTTTGGACTCAGGCCTAAATGGCCACCTGTTTGGATCCACGAGTTTCAATAAGTCGCATGTATTACATAAACCACCCACAAGTCCAGTGCACTATTCTGGAGGTGAATGGGTGGCGTTCAGTCGACTCTCACCCTCGCAGGGAGATGAACACCTGGGCACATGGGCAGCGGGAAGCCATGACAGTGGCAGTGGGTCACCGGCCTCAAGTGCCAAACACAGTGGGGACCTCCGCTCCCACTGGGCCCGACAGACTTCAGCACAGGCGCGTGGGCCAATCGCAGTGTGGCCGTGGGCCCACAGCCAATGAGGATGCGCGGTGGTGGACCAATGAGGTGCAGGCAGTGGAAGAAACAGTGTAACATATTGTCCGACGGCGACACGCGGCGGCGGGCAGGGGGAGTGGGGCGGGCTGACCTTTTTACCTTGCCCGATGGCTCCTTTCCAAGTGAGGCCGAGGGGGGTTAGGGAGCGGATTCCTGTGTCACCACACGGCTTGTATGTGCCCACCGAGGGCTAAATGGATGTCCTTCGACTAGGTCCACTGGCCTGACCTAGAGCCCCAGTATCCTCATCCCTCAAAGGGGGCTCCAGCCTGACTGGATTTCCCTGAGGCTTAGAGAACACGTGGTCAATACAGGTCCAGAGCACAGGTTCCCTGTCTCGGGGGATAGATGAGAGCTGGCAGATGTGAGGAAATAGACAGATACAAGGGGGGACCGGGGAACTGATGTTTTAAACTAGGGAAGAAGAAAAGGGGGTGGGCCATAAGAGAGGCTGCACAGAAGAGGCCTTTAGAAGGTGGGATCAAAATAGCAAGAAGAAAAGAGAAATAGTGCTTTAGTCTCTGAGACAAGAATAAACAGGTATTCTTCCAGCTTAGACCAGAAAAAAAAAAAAAAATTCATTTCTCCCCCAAGTAGAGATTCGTGTGTGTGTCTAGGTGTCTTTCTGCTTGAATTCCTGCTCCCCTGAATGTTTCGGGGATGGTCTGCTCCCATGCCTTCAGTTTGAGGCTAGGAAGTTCCAGCAGCCAGGCGCCCCTTGCTGCTCCCTATCCTGGGGCAAGCTGCTTCACCCCGGGGAGGGGTGAACCTGAGGTCAAAAGGCCTCCTGCAGGGCGCCTAGAGGCACTTGGATTTGGATTCTGACCGGGGACTTACCTCACAGCGACCGTGAGGACCGTGAAGTGACGTGAAGTCGCTCAGTCCTGTCCGACTCTTTGCGACCCCATGGACTGTAGCCTACCAGACTCCTCCCTCCATGGGATTCTCCAGGCAAGAATGCTGGAGTGGGTTGCCCTGAGATCTACCTAAAGCAGACAGACAGGGTACCTGGCCCCCTGGTGGACGCTCTTGAAATGCAGCTTCGGGAGTTTGGTGGAACACTAAATTAAACGATGTGTTACGTGGAAAGAAACTGTCACATGGAAAGCACCCAGGAAGAGCAAATTCTCCTCCTCCTTTTCAAGATAAATATTAAATATTCGTTTTAAAACAAAATTCTGCCTAGCCTGAGGCCCTGTCCCTTCGGGCTGTCCAGGACCCTGTGACCCAGGGTCATGGAGGGTCCCTGAGGAACGGCTTTCTCCCCTCCCCCTCCTTTGTTTCTCCTCCCTGCCCCTGCTGCTCGCCTCCCAACGCCAGTCTCAGAGTTGCTGTGAGACCCCTGTGCGGCTGCGGGCATTCAAGAGTCTGTACAGTCCTCTTGCCTGGAAAATCCCAGGGACGGAGGAGCCTGGTGGGCTGCAGTCCATGGCGTCGAGAAGAGTCTGACACGACTGAGCGGCTTCACTTTCACTTTTCACTTTCATGCACTGGAGAAGGAAATGGCAACCCACTCCAGTGTTCTTGCCTGGAGAATCCCAGGGACGGGGGAGCCTGGTGGGCTGCCGTCTATGGGGCCGCACAGGGTCGGACACGACTGAAGCGACAGCAGCAGCAGCAGACCTGTTGTCCAAGTAGATGGATTGGTGTAAAGTAGTCCACAGTTGAGGACAGCTCATCTGNCAAACTGCCCAGCCCTTTGTCTAGTCATCCCTCTCCACCACTACCACACATGTCTGGCTCCCTGGAGGTGGCCAGTGAGGAGCAGGTATGCGCCCAGAAAAAATGCAGTCCTGGGGTGGGACGTTGCTGAGAGGGTTCCTTACCTGCTGCAGCCTGATTTCTTTCTTGAAAATGAAGACCTCTGGCCCACTTCAGTCAGCCTTCCTCACAGCCTGAGGCAGAAGGCTCTGCTTATGAACTCTGGGACCTCTAGGTGGCTTCTCACCAGTTTTGGATACAATCAGAGTTCTCCCCAGCAACAGCCACACAGAGACACACCATCACCTTCTGACCCTGACTCCTCCCTCCCAGTACCAGAGATCCTGCTGTGAAATATCCCCGCTCATAGTAACATGGGTCCTGCCCAAAATACCTCCCCTGCCAAAGCAGCATAGATCCCGCCCTGAAATACCCCTTCCCTCCACCAGCCTGAGAGCATTTCTTTCCCTTGGATAAGTTCTATACCAGTCCCAACAGGGAGCTTTCTAAGATTTCTGCATAATGCCAACCCACTATGGCCACCCGTGTTCTGCATCCTCAGCCCTAACTTTCTGGTTGGAGAAACAGCCTTTTTCACTTGTTCTCCATTGTTGGGGATGACATGTTTAAGATCATTTAAAAATCAAAATAGATGAGAGGGAGGTGGGAGGGGGGATCGGGATGGGGAATACATGTAAATCCATGGCTAATTCATGTCAGTGTATGACAAAAACCACTACAATATTATAAAGTAATTAGCCTCCAACTAATAAAAATAAATAAATAAAATGGAGCTGGTGGCCATTGCAGATGTGGTTTCAGACACTTTGCTGCATCAATTCCTAAATTTTCTGAACTATATCAAATTCAAGGCTGTCACCAGCTATTTTCAAAACATCTGGTAGCAGCTTCCAGCTGCAATCTTATGGTCTCAAGGTCTATGCTTGTAACTATACAACCATTTTGGGCACCAACCAATCCCTGCTTAACTAGCACCCTTCTTGCCAGCTCCAGTCCTAATTCTTGACAAATAACTTCTGTAAATTTTATAGGTTTTGTGTATACAAGCCGCCTCTATTTTGTGGTCCTGTGGAACATAATTCAGGTGCTTCTTGAATCTGTGTCTCCTGGACTATAGTCCTTGCTTTGGCTCAAATGAAATTCTCTTCTGTCCCTTATTATAGATTGTTTATTGATTATTTGCATCAACATTAGTTCTATCCATTTCATGTGATAACAGGCAGGGGTCTCAGACTCTATCATCTTTGTATCCTCCAAACAAAATGAGAGTGATGGATTGTGTATTGAGCATCTGCTATGTTCTTAATCCTCATGGATGATCTTGCAAAGAGTCTTCTCTTCCCCATTTCATAGATGGGAGAAGCTAGCTCAGAGAAGGGCAGTCACCTGCCTAAAGTCTAAACACTTAGAGTTCTCTCTGGTTTTCTGCTCACCATGCCTCGTTGGGTAGCATTTAGTGAAAGGAATGTTAACTTTTTTCTGCTGGAGAGAAATTTGCATGATTTTGTAAGTTTCCAAACAGAAGATTCTCAGCTGTGAACTGAGGTCTGTGGACAATGGCACGCAGAGAAGGATGAGGAAGGTAGAGGCCCACAGAAGAGTATAGTCTCTGACTCTAGTTCGGAGCTCCCAGCTCCTCTTCTATCAAAAGGAGCCTTAGATGCAATCCTAGATGGGCTTCTGCCTTTCATCTCCTTTGCATAGGGCCAGATTCTGGCTTCTAGAAGAGCCTGGGAATCGAGTAAGCTCCTTCACGAGCAACAGGTATTGCTGAGTCAGCTTGGCTGCGCACCATCTACTGTAGAAGGACAGATACATGACTCCCAAGGTGCATCCCAGGGTGAGAGTGCCCATCCTCTCCTGACCTCCAGAGTAAAACTCCCAAAGGCTCAGGGCCTGTCATCATGACTCAGAACCATGGGACCTCCCTCTGGGGTTTCTGTTTTAAAGAGTTTAAAGTGTATGAAAGTGCTGTGAAATGGAAAAAGAGCAACACAAATACTGATGCAGAAAGTTGGGGCTTGAAACTATAGAATTACTAGAAGAAGACATAAGGGAAAATCTTCAGAACATTGGTTTTGGCAGTGATTTCGTGGATATGACACTGAAAACACAGGCAATGAAATAAAAATATACATCAAACTAAAAGGCTTCTGCAGAGCAAAGCAAACAACAGAGTCAAAAGGCATTCCAGAATGGGACAAAGTATTGTATATCTGAGAAGGGGTTACTA